AAAAAAAAAAAAAAAAAAAAATCAAACATATGCTGTCACTTACAAGTGGGAGCTAAGCTATGAGGATGCAAAGGCATAAAAATAATATGGGCTCTGGGAACTTGGGGGGCAGTGTGGGAGGGGACGAGGGGTAAAGTCTACACTTTGGGTACAGCGTGCACTGCTTGAGTCATGGGTGCACAAAAATCTCAGAAATTACCACTGGAGAACTTATCCATGTAACCAAACATCACCTGTTCCCCAAAAACTACTGAAATAATAATTTGTAAAAACTAAAGGAATAAGATAGACTGGAATTTTCATATTACACAGAACATGTGCTATATATTCTGATATATAAGCAGCCAAAAATTAAATATAAAAGTATCAAGAATATAAATATTATTCTTTCAAAACTTAAATTATACAATGGATAAAATTAATAAGATCTGAGAAGCAGATGACCAACTCTCATAATATTTTTTATTACAGTAGACTTTCTAGTGGTTTCAGCCATTTTGACATTTAATAACTTTGGAGGAATCTTGAAGCATCACCACTTTCATGTAGTTAGTAATTTATTGATGCTATTATTTGTTAAACAAATAGATATTTCCTATCTGCAAGATACAGGTCACTGATCTCTAAGGAGAAGAATATTAAAGGCTCATTAAAATATTCACAGACCTAAATAGAATGTATTATGTATGTGAAAATATTGCTGTCATCTACAGGGAAGAATTATGTCTAATAGGATTGAGAGATGATTAGGAGAGAAGGAGATTAATTTATTTTAAAAGTAATATGTAATGTAAGTATGACCTAAAAAAATATTACTCCATAGGCTACCATTTTCCCTGAGCAATTACTAGGTATGTCTGCTGGATTATCTAATAAAATAAAGGCAAATGGTCTTAAATATTTAACTTGTCTAAAAATGTATACTTCTCTGCAAGCAGAGATACACATGTATTAACATAATGTACCTGAAATGTACAATCAAAAATATATTTACTCACATATTTTCTCTACAACTTATAAATACAAGTCTATAAGTACGTGGGAGTGATCAAATAAAGATGACCTAATTACAAATCAACAACAACAACAGTGTCTCTGAAAATGACAAAGCACGAAACAAAAAGTCTCAGTGTTCATGGTGTCAGAATCTATGGTAACTATATATTAGGTATTGAAAGTTTAGGGATGGTATGTCTACATTGTTCTGTATTGTATTAAGAGAGTTTAAGTCACATACAACTTCAGCCTTAATTAAAGAAATATTATGATATATGATGTTCTTTTACTGTTTTTAGAATAGTTGAAAATTGGATTATACTCACACTATCAAGGCAAACATTTTTTAGCAACATGCACCTCAATACCATCTTTCTGAATTTTACTTTAAAAATGTAATGGAATTATTTAAGGTATGCTTATGCACAAACAGAGAAATGTTTTTACTTTATTATTTAAAAATTGTAATGCAATATACATTATTCCAAATTGACAGCTTTTCCCCCATGACTACCTACATAAATTGGTTTGAAATGAAAAGGTAAAGACATTTAAAGGGCTTTTCATTTTCAGAAACTTAAAGCGATACAGCTGTTTCAGCTAGAGCAAATGATTATAAATTATTAGTGTCAATCAAAGACGTGATTTCCATTTCCTGATTAAATCTATACAAAAGATCTTCAAACACACAGTTCAGCTGTCACCAAATGACAAATCAATCAGGAAAGACAATACAAGTGAGTGATTAGACTGCACGAAAAAGACAATCGTATGGGTTGGCATTTTCCACCTCATTCAAAGCCCTGTTATTAATCAGAAAATGGGAGTGAACATTTATTGCATCTACTTGTATTTAAACATTAAAATGTTTCAGTATGAACATTCTATATCCTAAGACATTGAAACAACAAAAGAAATGGCTTCAATGGCTTTTAAATATGTTGGCATAAGAGAACAATATAGGTTTAGTTAAATGCGTTTAAAAAACATAAATGGGTAGCAATTGCTTTGAAGAGAAAAAAACCCTACAGATCACTTAATTAAAGAACAAAAATCTCAAGCATTTTTCATGTGTTCTAGATTGATTTACACCCTTATCGAGTTGGTTGTCATGTCCAATAGAGTTTGGTTTCTATCACTAAAATCAATAGACTTTAGGCACCAGGACATGAAATTTGATAAAGTGTTAGAAGTGTTGAATTCATAGCTTAGAGAGAAACTTTGATTTTCAGGAAGTAAGCATATATTGTTTTCAATTTCAACAGTAACCTTTTTAATAAGTCATTACCCTTGACATATTTAAATTTAAAGCATTTAAGTTTGTAAATTTTCAGAATAAGTGTTATGTCAAAGTATCAACTAGTTAATGTAGAGGTTTTTATATATTTTGCCTATATACCTATAAAAACCTGTACATTAAAACTAATTGATTTAAAATAAAGCACAAAATCTAAAGAGTATACCTGTATACACACACACACACACACACACACACACATATATGTATATATCTGTACATATATATGTATATAGGTATGTAGGGATTTACCTGCATATAAATATACACATACATACCTGCTTATACATATGTAGGTATATAGGTATACTCTCTAAATGTAGTACTTTATAGATATGATATATATGCATATAGATATAGTATATAGGTCTACAGACATAGATTACACCTTTATATTATCTATATATAATTATACCCATTACAGTTATATAATTATACCCACTATACTTATATACTATATGCCTATGCCTATTATATATATATATAATTATACCTATTATATCTAGATAATAGCTATATTATAGATATAGTATATTGGTATAGTTATACCCATATAGATTTAATTGTATAGATATTGATATACACCTGTAAGTATATATATGTATGTATATAGGAATAATATCTGGATATGTAGGTATATGGGTATAATCTGTTGATTTAATACTTTGTTTTAAAATATTAGGTATATAGATATAATCTCTAGATTTAGTACTTTGTTTTAGAATGAAATAGGTATTCTGATGTCTAATTTTAGGAGTGATTTAAAGTTATCATTAGAAAAACATTGGCAATAGATCAGTATAAAAAATACTTTTTAAAAATTATCAAAACAAGTATTTCCATTCAAATGTATAACTACAAAGTGTTGTTGTTTTTTAAAAGTACACACTAATTAATTTATGCATTTAATATATCGAGGAGTCTCAAACTTAATAAGTTTTTTTCTCTTTATCCCTGGGGAACTCTCCCAGGAACCTCTTCAGATGCCAAAATTTGAGGCTGTTCAAATCCCTTACATAAAATAATGTAGTATTTAATGTAATTTATGCATATCCTCCCATGTGCTTTAAATCATCTCTTGAATACTTATAGTACCTAATAAAATGTAAATGCTATGTAAATAGTCATTATACTATATTTTTATTGTATTTTTAATTGTTACTCTGTTGTTTTTTTTTTTCAAATGTTTTCAATCCATGGTTGGATGAATCTGCAGATGCAGACCCCATGAACACAGAGAGCTGACTACATTTTTTAAATTACTTTTTGATATATTCATGAAATAAACATAATATTAATACATTAGCAGTATTATAAACTAAACTTCCAGAGTAGTGACACTTCAGGATAGACTGTTAATCTCATTTTATAGATCAGACACCTGAGATAAGACAGTTTACAAAAAATTATAAAAGTTGTGCAGGATACTAGTGACTAGTGTTAAGTTTTTAAATTATCCACATATCTGTTTTTAACATTCAGAGATTACATAGCAATTTCTCTAGAAATGTGGGCATTTAGTGACACTTGATATAAATGAGGAAATGTGATTGTATTTTTTTTTTTTGAGACACAGAATATGCCAGAATTCTCCTCATTATATTCTGTACTCCTGTCCCCATCTACCACTTTTTTAATTGGGCTACAGTAGGATGATCAACGTCACACCAAGCCAATTTATCCACCACTGACCTATGTAACTGTTTTTGTTATTTTTTGCAGCTTTGAATATGAGAATAAATGCCTTTAAAAACGCTTCAGTGTCATTATTTTGATGTTTGTCTGAAATACCCTTAATTTTTCCTTCTGACAGTAATGAACTTCACAGGTTTTACATGTCTATAACACAAGTGAATTCTGAATGTTTATATGTGGGCAAAAATGTGTGTTCTTGCACTTAAGTTTTGAAATGAATGATTGTGTGTTTTTACCACCAAATGACTGCACAACTAATCAATATATTTTATTTTACATAAGTGCATTTCAATGTTTTAGTTAAATTTTCCAAAAAAATTTATTTTATACAAAATCTACTCACTATTAGCTCTATCAAGAACATATAGCAGAATGCATATGTGAAGATAGTT